AGGAGCGTGCTTGAACATCACCAAACACGTGCACCCAAATGATGCACATTGGGAAGATTTGACTTCAATGCACGCAGACATGCATCCCCGAGGCATGTCAGTCCGCTTGTGAGCTTCATGTGTGCTCGTCGCCCTTCTGGATCTCTTGGCTCACAGGATGAAAGCCTGGCTCAGAAAGTGCTCCGTGTCTGTGAGGCACCATGAAGGCATCACTTCGAGCGGCTGGTCGTGGAGGCGCCCGGAACTGGAGGAAGGAGGATCTGGACCAGACAGCGCTGATCCAGGCCTTCACGCAGCACGCTGTCCAGCATGGACCTCTGAGCCTTCTCCAATTCGGCCCGTACTTGGGCCTCCCGACCACGAGGGCCATCATGGGGGCGGAGCTGGTCCGGCTGTCTCCTATCCTCAGAATGTTCCTGGCGCAGATCCCTGCGGGCAAGGTCAAGCTCACTTGCTTGCGCACCCTGTACATCAAGTTCTGCTCGCAGCACCCGGCCGTGTGGCATTTCTTGGGGACGCAGAAGTCGCTGAGCGACCATGCGACAGACTGCGCCAACACTTGCCTGACTATGCTCGCCCATGCTCGGCGTCTCACGGATGAAGTGAAGTTCCGCCAGGCAGCGTCGGGCCTCACCACATCGGAAGCGCAGGTGCTGGAAAGTCTCCGAGACCACTTCCGAATGCAGCGGCACCAGCCCCTATCAGCCGACGAGGCTGAGGGGGGCGACTCCGGCGCCGGGGTGGGAGAGGTGGACCTGGACCACCTGTCTGACTTTCTGGCGTCACAGGAGCTGCCTGCAGATCTCGAAAAGCGGTCAGGAACAAAACAGGTTCTGAAGCGGCCCGCCCAGCGTGCGCCAAGCGCAGTACATGCCAGGAAGAAGCCCGCTGCCAGCAGCGCGGACATCTCCAAGGAGGAGGCTCTGCGGCAGTTCCCACAAGGCTGCGGCAAATGCCGTGGAAAGCCGGGCTGCTACCGCAGCTGCCATAAGTATCGTGGGTTCCGCCTGATTGAGTAGCTGATGTGTTCCTGAACAGACCGTTTTTTTCGTGTAGGGGATCGCTCCGAGCCAGCAGAAAAAAGCTTACTGCCTGCGTGGCGCAGGTCCTAGGGCAATGTAGGACACTTTGAGCACGCTACTTGTCATGCATCTGGATAGCTTCAGCCTCAAGCCAATCCTTAGGCGCGGCCAGTGTCGCCGGCCTTTGGGCCGCGCACCAAAGCTGACTAGCTGGCCTTCGGGCCGCTCGCTTGTGCTGGCCTCGCGGCCGCTGGCCTCTGGGCCGCGAAACATCGCTGAGCAGCCAGTGTCGCTAGCTGGCCTTCGGGCCGCTTGCTTGTGGCTTAGCTGGCCTCCGGGCCGCTTTCTTGTGGCTGTGCTGGCCTCCGGGCCGCCAGAAACACCGCTGGCCTGCGGGCCGCACAGAAGGCAGCGCTGGCCTACGGGCCGCTCGCTTGTGCTGGCCTCGCGGCCGCTGGCCTCTGGGCCGCGAAACATCGCTGAGCAGCCAGTGTCGCTAGCTGGCCTTCGGGCCGCTTGCTTGTGGCTTAGCTGGCCTCCGGGCCGCTTTCTTGCGGCTGTGCTGGCCTCCGGGCCGCCAGAAACACCGCTGGCCTGCGGGCCGCACAGAAGGCAGCGCTGGCCTACGGGCCGCGGCGGCCGCTTGATTTGACAGGGCTGGCTTCTGGGTCGCGCACACGACAGTGCCCGCTGGCAAGCAAAAAGCGTGCGCTCCTCCGTGCCCAACTTGTTGTGTCTGCATGTGCACACATGGGTGTTTCTAGAAACCCCAGCATGTCTCGTTGCGCATGAGTTGCTCTGCTGCCGCTTTGCTCTTGGTTTGCTTCCTGCTTCGTTTAGCCCGCAGCATGAGCCGGAAGGCTAAGCTGACACCGCGGCAGCCGACCAGTAGCAGCAGCGCTGACCAGAGCGACAGCTTGGAGAGCTCGGAAAGCGAGTGCAGCGACTCGTCGGCGTCCGCCTCCGCCAGCCCCGGGGCGCGATGGGCCACCTGCTACAGACCAGCCTGCAGGCCCTCCGTACCCCGCCAGCGAAGTTGCACAAGCGGTGTCTCCTGCTGCCAACACTCCGCCAACGGCTCTCCCCAAAGCTGCGCCAGCTGCTCCAGCAGAGCTGCCAGCTCTCCCCAGCGACTCGGCGCCCCAGGCGGACACGCCGGGCCAGTGCCGGCCTCGCTCGCCCGTGGCGCCGCCCCGCAAGGTGTCGGAAGATTCTCTTCCGCTGGCAGCTGGGGAGCCGGAGGAAGACCATGCCGGCCGCCGCAAGTCGCGCGGCGGCGCACGCAGAGTCCCGCGCTCCTCGGACACGTCCCAGTGCGCCACATGCTGGCGCTGGATCACGAACGGTGACTGGTCCTGGCATCAGCACCGGCAGAGCCCGTATCACCGTGCCTGGGCTTGCAAGGCCGGCGAGGCAGCTGAGCAAGGCGCTGATGGCCCGCCGGCCGCTGGGCCTGCCAAGGTGGTCAAGAGTGAAGTCAAGGAGGAGGAGGCGGCGTCAGAGGCTTCGGATGTCTCGAAGCGCAAGAAGAAAAAGAAAGCTCGCCGGTCCGCTCCTGACCGCGAGACGGATCCTCGGGACCGCCGCGGCCCGCCCGACGACAAGAACGACCCTTCTGGCTCCGGAGCCGGGGGTGAGAAGGCAAAAGCCTTGACCGCTATCTTTGAGAGAGCTGTGCAAGCCCTTGAGAGCTTCTAGAGCTCTGGCACGCCGCTGAGATCATCTGGCCTCAGGGCCGGCAAGCTGGCGATTTTGCGCGCGCCAGTGGATTGGCTTGGCTTCGTTGTCGTCTTTTGGGCTGATGGCCCCAGGGCAAGCAATCGGCCTCCAGGCTGCCACTGCCTCCTTCGCTCCGGCACAGCAGACGAATGGAGAAAAAAAGGCGTCGGGTTGTGCGCTCTTGCATATACATACATAAACATATATACATATACACACATGTATTTACATATATACACACATTTATATATATATATATATATTTTTATATATGTGGTGGGTTCTCATGTATGTATGTATGTATTTATGTATGTATACACATACAACATTCGCTGGCGTACATGTACACCCACCAGAACTGGAAACTGAGAGAAAACCAAACACACTTGACCACATGGCAACGCTCTTCAAACACTGGCAGGAGGTCAGAACGTGTCAGAAGACGTCTTCTGACTTCAATATGATCGGAACATGTCAGAGGACGTCTTTTGACGTCAGAAGATGTCAGAACATGTCAGAGCATGTCTTTTGACGTCAGAACGTGTCAGAGAATGTCTTTTCACGTCAGAAGATGTCAGAACATGTCAGAAGTGTGTCAGAAGATGTCAGAAGTGTGTCAGAAGATGTCAGAAGTATGTCAGAAGACGTCATAAGATATCTTGTGGTTGTTGTTATCTTTTTAAAAAAGCATGTCGTTACCAGTAGACTTCCGTCCGCCGCTGTCGCTTGGCTCCGCAGCACGCTCTGCTACTGGCCCGGCACGCTGTCTCAACGCTCCTTTGCGCCAAGCCCTACGCGACCATGCCCCTGAAGCGCCCTGCAGCATCCGTGCTGAAGAAACCGGCGGCTTCGGCCGCTGAGCCGGACGTGGCCCAGCTCACGACGGCGCCGGAGATCGGCAAGTTCCTCTTCGGACACGATGAGGACGAAACTTCGCGCCGCTTGGCGCTCTTGTCCGACTCGCAGAGGCAGACGCTGACGAAAATGTTCGAGCGTGCTCGCAAAGAGCACGGGCAGGAGTACGAGGCTGTCAGTCTGCAAGGGGCAGGCGCCAACCGCAAGAAAGGCGAGCTCTTGCTTGCTTGGCTTCAGCACGGCTTCAACGAGACTTACTGCACTCTGGCAGCAAAGATTGTCATGAAGCAGTCTCGCCTGACTCGGGAGGAGTGGATCCCCTTGCGCGAAGCCCAGCGCTTGTATGGCCGCTTTGAGCTGAAGAAGCGCCTGAAGAAGGGATCCTTGGAGTCGCGCCGTGATCCGGCTGACCCCGAGTTCTTCCAGGTGCGGAGGCGCCGGGAGCTTCAAGAGACTGGCACCACCAAGCAAAAAGAGCTCAAGGCGCTGTCCACAGGAGGAAAAGCTGGCGCCAAGCATGTCTGGGACCAGCTGGAATCTGACGAGCAAGCTCCGGGCTGGTCCGACTTGAAGCTTGCCCGCCCAGCAAAGAAGGGAAGGATCGGCGCTGGTGGCGGGCGGGCCACAGACGTCGATGCTATGATGGCCCTGCTGGATGAGGGCGGGTCGGATGACAATGTCGACGCAGAGTCCGACAATGTCGGAAGCGCCGATGACGATGAGTTCGGGCAGTCTGCCGACTCGGAGGAAGAGCCTGCTCTGGCCCTGGAAGACAAAAAGTCCCGCCGGGCATCTCGCTCCCAGGCGCCAAGCAGCAAGGTCAGCTTGGACGACGTTGAGAAGTACAGCGCCAAAGTTGGATCTGTGCATCGTGAGGAGCTTCGGCGCCGCCTGTCTGCCACCGCCAAGCTCGCCACTGCTGCCATCGAGGAAATGACCGCCGCGCAGGACGCATCGAAAGGCCAGCAGAAGCAGCGGATCGTCGGCTGCAGCAATGCCTCGAAAGCTGCGCTGACACAGGCCCAGGCGGCGCTCGCAGACAACGGCGCAACTGCCGAAGTCTGTAAGCGGGCGCTGCTCGAATGCGTCAAGTCCTTGAGCGCGTGGCGCCGGACACGCGCTACATCGGCCTGATCTGTAAGTCGGCGCGCGCGCCCGGTCTAGAGCATATATATAACTTGATCATGAGCCAGTTTGTCGACTGGCAAATTTTGTTCGAAGCCTGACAGCCAGAGATCGCTCGGAAAAGGTCTTAGGTCTTGCTGCCCGCGCTCGTCTGCGTGCCTTGATTCAACTATTATAATTTTCACACGTCAAGTAGGTTGCTCTTTTTTTTTAATCGCCCGCTGGAGCCGTTGCTTGTCTCTGCCGCACGCTGCTGCCCAAGCTGTTGCGCCTGCAGCCATGGCTAGGAGGCGAGGATCAAAGCGCACGATCGAAGAGAGAGCGCTGGATGAGGCAGCATCACCACATTCCCAACTCTGGACCTGCATCATGGAGCTTTGGGCCTGGGGCGTTCTGTCAAGCCCAATTGTGCAAAAGCTGGCGCAAGCAGCCCGCCGGAGCGGCTGCTCTGCCCACGACATCGACACGTTGGCGCAGCTAGGTGCCAGCGGTGCGCACGAAGGCAACTGCCACCGGGACTTACTGCGCGCGTACGCTGCCCGTTGCGTGACCCCGGCGCTATCGCCGGTGACTTGCCCAACGAAGGTCAGAGCGCCGGAAGGCGCGGCAACGCTCGACACTCAGCAAGCAGTGCTGCCTGCTTCCCACAGCCTTGCTGGGCTCGGACGCAGAGCGCGCAATCTTCTGGGCCGCCCAGAAGGACTCGCCTCGCGCAACGGGCGTAGGCTACTACCATGTCCGTGACTTCTGCCCAGAAAAAACAATACCGCTGCTACTTTTTGCCGACGGCGCGAGCCATGCGGAGCACGATTCCATCGTGTCAGTGAGCTTCCGGAGCCTCTTGGCGCACCAGTGCGACATCGCAGAGAGCATGTTTCTCCGCCATGCCCAAGTCGGCCACTGTGAAGAAGGAAACATGGCGGTGCTTGTGGCAGGCCTTGGTAGAAGATCTCAATCGTTTGGCCCACGGGCTGGACCACGACGGCTCCGCGCTGCCTCTCAGAGCTGTAGTGTGGGTTGTCTCTGGCGACTACGAGCATATGGCCAACGAGTATGGCCTCCCGCACTGGACGAGCCTTGCCTGCTTCTGGTGCTCTGCGCCAAAGGAGCACTTCTTCGCCTTTGCTGACATCCCAGCTTTGACGCGGTCGGCTGAAGACATGCTGGACCAGGATGCGCTGGACCATCCACTCAAAGCTTTGACCAACTACTCTCCATGCATGTTTGCCATCGACACCCTTCACTGCGTGGACCTCGGAGTGGCAGCCCACGTCTACGCCAACGTGTTCCATGAGCTCACACAGGAGTGGCCAGAAACTAAGGCGGCCAGCCTGAGCAGACTCAACAAAGAGCTGCGGTCGCACTGCGTTGCAGTCGGGTCGCCCGCGCCGCCGCTGCTGCGATACGAAAACTTCGCGCCACGGTCCGGCGAGTACCCGAAGTTGCGCCACATGAAAGGTGCCGCAATACGCCGCTTGGCGCCAGCTGTGCAAGCCCTTGCTGCCGCATATGGGCGCGGAAGCGCGCATCGCAAAAGGAGGGCTCGCGTGGCCGCCTTGCTGCGCGCAATCTATGACTCGACTTCCTGCCGACTTGTCATGCCAGCAGCCAAGCACGCGGAGTTTGCCCGCGTGCTGACGGAGTTCCTGGAAGAGTATGCCAAGCTAGCCACCTCCTGCAGGGGTAACGGATGGCACGTCGTCTTCAAGTTTCACATGCTCAGGCACTTAGACGAACAGTCTAAGCACTTGAGCCCGCGGTTTGTGTGGACATACACAGGAGAAACTTTTATGTCGTTCATGTGCCAAATCGCCAGCTCTTGCTCGCGGGGCACGCCTGGCCGACTGCTTGGCGTCAAAGTGCTGCAGAAGTACCGGGTCGCTCAGCATCTCATGCTATCGCAGCAGATCCCCACGCGCTCACGGTTTCCAGTTGATGAACTCGACGAACTCGAAGATTGACCGCTGCTGGGCCTTGAGCCGCTCAGCTTGAGCCTGAAATGGCTGCGACAGCGTGTGGAAAAAAACGCGACAACAGCTCTTATATTTGTAATATTTTTTTATATATATATATATGTCTTGCGATTTATATATATATATATAGATATACAGATATATCGTAAATATTATAATATATATATGCATAAATCGATGCATGTGCTTGCGAGTGTGCATGGTCTCACTGCACGTGCACATGCGCCCCCATCATGGCCCGGACCGCGATTGACTTTCATTTTTGACATGCTTGCCCGCGATCGATTTTGACAATTTTGCGACACCACTCTGGGATTGAATTTCACCAAGTGAGCCGACAATGGGCCGCGATTGACTTTTGGGATTTTGCCTTGTTTTTGGTGTGTTTTTTACCTGCGATTGAATTTGGTTGCCGCGATTGATTTTTTTCAATCTCGGATGCTTTGGGCACGCCCACACGCCCACACGCCCACACGCCCACACGCCCACACGCCCACACACGCACACACGCACACACGCACACACGCACACACACACACGCACACACGCACACACGCACACACGCACACACGCACACACGCACACACGCACACACGCACACACGTACACACGCACACACGCACACACGCACACGCGCACACGCTCGCACACACGCGCACACGCACGCGCACGCACACGCACACGCACGCACACGCACGCACACGCACGCACACGCACGCACACACGCACACGCACGCGCACACGCCCACGCGCGCGCGCACGCGCACGCGCACGCGCACGCGCAGGCACACGCACAAGCGCGCGCAGACACACACAGACACACAGACACACAGACACACAGACACACAGACACACACACACAAACACACACACACACAGACACGGACACGCACGCACGCACGCACACACACACACACACACTCACACTCACACAAACACACACACACACACACACACACACACCCGCGCGCGCACGCACGCACGCACGCACACACACACACACACACGTAAGCACTTATCCGAACAGTCGCGCAACCGTGCAAACGCGCGAACACATTTGCAACAGAACCGACAAGACGGCACCACGCCACAACTGCACACAGCCACACAGCCACAACGATAGCACACAGCAGCGACAAACAGATCACGCACACAAATCATCACACAAGCGCTAGTAGACAAACTCTAGCACACAAGCACACCAAATAAGAGCAATTAAAAATCACTCACACATACACAACTTGCTGCACATGTGCATTGCGTGTGCACATATCTGTATATATATATATATATAGATATATACATGTATTTATGTTTGTATTCAGGCATGTATACATGTACATGTAGTGTATGTGCGCGCAGAGACACTCACAACAGTTGCCGAGTGGTGCCCTCAATCTCATGCGCATAGGGAAGGGACGCCGCATAGGGAAGCGACGCATTCTGCCAATATCAGAGCTGGATCCTTTTACTGAGCCAAACTCCACGCAGTAGCAGTCTGATTTCCTGAAAAAAACAATTGTAAGGAATGCAAAGGGTGGCTGCTGTTGATGGTTGGTACTGTTCTGTCCCCACACCCCGAGAGCGTTTCAAATCAGTGGTTGCCTCTATGGCCAAAGACCTCCAGTGGCTTGTTCTCCCACCCAAAAAGGCCTCGCAACTGCTTCACCTGCTTTCATCTCCCATGGTAGTGTTGCTTTCCGAGTGACAGTTGATGCGCCCATGGCTGAGGCCTACTTAGCCAAAAACATATGCTCATGATGGAACCTCAGCCTTCTATGCAACAAGTTGGATGCCCCGTGTGAATGGCCCTCATTTGATACTCATTTTTGTACAGAAGTGACATCCAAATCAGTGCCTGGATAGAAACTGGTTGCCTTCCAAAAGAGTCTAAGCGACTTGTCGTGCTTTGTTTAGTATGGCAAGGTTTTCCAATGGCATTGCCTGCTGACCATTGCCTAAAAGACATTTTTCAGCCGTACCATGCTACATTTTGAACAAAATGTAGCCGTCCTGGCTTGTTTTCAAACCCCAGGATTCCCGGCTTGAGCCAAGTTCCAAGAACGACTTGGATCCGCTTTGTGCCGACATCTGATGTTCAGTGCCGTCCTCAGATCCATGTTTTTCCAGGCCCCAAGCAGCCGACTCGCAGGCTGCGTGCAGAAGGTGGAGTCCTACGTCCGCGCGTACCTGGGCTACCTCTTGGCCACCTTTGTGGTGCGCGACCCGCCTCAGGAACGAATCGCTTGCTTAACCAAAACCAGGGGTCTGTTAGCACTCAGCAGGGAATGAGAAATGGAGTCTGACCCCCAGGTTCATTCCCACATTCCTACTGAGCACCAGCCAGTATTTGGACTGACCCAGGGCCAAATTTGCGTGAAACAAGCTGCTTCATCAACTTGTAGCGACCGCATAAGAGGGTTGCTACCTCACCTGTGCAGGCGGCTTCTTAGGGGGGGGAGGTACCTTATTCTAGATGGTGCATGATCATGATTTATCGAGATGTGTGCCGAGGCTGATAGCAATTGGCATCAATGAACCTTTGAACCGGGACTTTAGACAATATAACAATGGGCTTCCTTGTTTGTGAACTATGACGGCATGAAGCGCATGTTCGGAGTTTTGTCCATTACACATGTGCGTTCACAATCACTCAGCAGCAATATGTTCAGTTTCATTGCGCCGTACGCATTGCGAGCAGTGCATGTTTTCAGCTGCAGCGAGCTCTATTTGTCCAGCAAATCTTCAACATTCCAAGTAGCTCCTGGTTCTGCCAAGCCACATCTATGTTGGACCGTTTTTGGTAAGACCTCGGCTCTTGAAATCTTTGGGAAATTCCATTGATCCTGGCTGGGCGGAAGTGGACCCTTTGCAGGGACCCCTTTTTGAGCTCGGGACCCCTTGGCTCTTCTCAAATTAAACCATTTCAGGGACCGAGCAGGATCCAGTTGTGCTTGCAGCAGTCTTGTGGCGTGGGATGTGTTGCAACCAGTCGCCTTTCGGGTGGGTTTTCCATAAGCAAACTCACCTGGAAGGGTCGCGGGTGTGACGTAAAATGCCCGGTGATTGCGCTTCTGTTTCGACATCACGTGTTTGGCCAGTCTAAAATGAGCCTCCGCTTGGCGGGAGAGCTTTAAAGGGGAAGCATAGGGAACCCTGATAGAGCCACTGTCATCATCGAGCAGAACTGAAGCAGCACGGTTTTCACTGTACACCACGCACGTGCGCCCGGAATACATGCCGCCTGGTCCAGCCCGGCCCTGCAGATGTGTATAGATAATATGTGTATAATATTTATGTTTATAT